CCCCCCACCGGAGAGAAATGTAGTGATTTAAAATACACCAAAACCCCCAATTAAAGAAAAAAAAAAACAAAAAAATTTTAACAAAAATTTGAAAAAAAAGTTAAAGAGAAAAAAATTTTTTTTTGTTTTTAAAAAAAAAAAAAAAAAAGGGGCGACCGGGGGGTTTGGGGGGGGGGGGGGGGGGTATGAAAGCAGGCAAAGTTTCCTTGAAGAATTCCTTTGGGCTGCCTTTGTTGAAGTTTTTGCGGAGTCAGTTACTGGCAGTGTTCACGAAATTTCTAAGATGACGTTCAGAGTAAGGTGACGGTGTTTTGCCTATCTTATAGAAATGTTTCTTAAGAGATTTCGTTTGAAGACGCTGCGGTTAGTGACGATGTGCCAACCCCCTCCTCAGGCACTTCTTTTTTCGCACAGAGGAGAGCGCAAAACTAAGTGACAAGAGAGTGACTGGTGGCAAAGCGCAAGGAACCATAGGAAGGAGAATAAAGAGAGGCGACTCGTCCTTCCCGCCTTTATTTGCGCGCAAATTTTCATCGAGAGAGAGACGTCTGGATTACTGGTAGACCAGACCATGTGCTGTTTTTTCTACTAACTGTGGTAGAACTGGTGTAGCGTCCATGTCATGCTGAAGTTCCCTCTACCTAACTCCATGAGGGTATAATGAATTTTCATGCAAAAACATTCAGTCTGTCCCGCCGAGGTGTGTAGGACTTGTAGAGGTATCTATGACGTTTGGCGACTGTTTTGCATGACAATTATTTTGCATGACTGTACACGTCATGTCTATTAATATTTAAGTCTATCCTTTCCCCATCCATTTTTTTTTAACCGCCATGCTAATGACATTGACAGAACAACTACGACAAAATTTTAAACATATTTTACTACATATTTCCGAAGATATGACTCGGAAAGATATACAAAAGATTTACAGCTTATGTACGGAACGTATATCGATTAGTGATACTAAAACTTTAGTTATTTTTCGACGTTTAGAACATGAAAGATTGATTTCGTGGAAAGATGTTGACTACTTAAAGTATTTAATGCGTGAAATTCGAAGATTGGATATTGTAGAAACACTGACAGAATATGAAAATAAAAGAGATCTAACCATACTTCTGGATTTTTATGCAAGGAAGAGGCAAGGTCTGGACTTCACTTGTTGTTCCCACAACGTGAGAAGAGTAGCTGGATATTTAACGAGACTTATGGATATGGTTCAAGACAACATTGATATCGTCAACATAATTACCTCGGTGAATTCGAGCAAGGAAATAAGAAATGCATTAGTTAATTTTGAAGAGGAGATAGACTGTAGAGAGCAAACGTTTTCGTGGAATGAGTTTATGATGCTGGTTGTTATCGTAGGAGAACTCTTAGCCATTGCTTCAGCTAGCGAAGTGCGCTCGGAACCTGTTATGGAGTTGTGTTCCACCGCAGCAGATGAACTCTGTCCAAGAATGATAGAATTGGGAAGTTGGGTAAGTTAAATGTATTGAATTAGTATATAGTCCTTTTCAGTTTAATGCTTTATAGCCAATAAATACAGTAAAACCCCTTATCTTACTCCAGAAGCTCTTCAGTTCTCTTTGATTGATACTGATCAAGTAGACAGATATCGAGGGCCGAATAAAAACGAAAGCGGAAGTTGCCGAGCTTCTACAAAAACAAAATAAATCATGCAATTTACCTCTGCAAAAGAGGTTTGAATTTCAATCCAAAGTACAGACATAATGATTTTATTTCTTAAACTCAGTTGAAAAACGAGGCGATACATGTCAATTCGTTGCCGAAACTTCAATTGTGCGAAACAGCGACAGGAAAATTGTACATTCAATGTGAAAGGCCCAAAATACTGTCAGTAATTGTCTCTTCTCAGGTAGAACGTTTTCTTGAAATAAAGCTTAAAAGATAGGTACCGCAGTTTGTTTTGAGCTGAACTTAACACTTCTTAACGAGCATGTGTTCTTGCAACTTCAGGAGCCTGTATTGCTGGAGCCGACTTAATTTGGAATTGATTGCCAGACTTCACCCTAGCTTTCGAATACTGTGTTTAAGTAATTTGGACTTGAATTTGTTTTTGTTTTGCAGAAAGAGTTTTGCGACCAAGTGAGGAAAAGGTATAACTCGGTTTACCATCGACGGCATTTGGAGTCCAACCCTACCTTGTTCGTTCAAAGACAGAGAGCGGAAATTGTTGAACGTCTTTCAGAGACAATCTTCTTTACAGTGAATAGTTAATTGTTGTTTTCATGTTTTCGATTGCGGGTTTGCGGGTCATGGGAGTCTGTGATTCTGCTAGTCTTTACATGCGAGCTGACATTAGTCACGATTTCGTTCCGATTTCGTTTTTTTTGTTCAGTTCGATGGTTTAGTACCTTTTTGGTTTTGTTTCCATCGTTTCTAACTGAAGGCTTTTTTTTTTCGGGTTTTTTGGTTTGTGTTTCGTGACGGTTGAACGAGAAGTTTTGGTATAAGTGACCTCATTTTCCATTTCCGCAGACTCGTATCGACTTCTTTCTTTTTTTGTTTTCGAATAGTTTGGTTATGTGTTTGTTAGTTCACGACAGAGTCTGTTAGCAGGGTAGAGGTTTACAGATTGACAGCTATAAATTACAAATGTTACAGAAATGTAATTAAAACCACGAGTACGGAGTTTTAAACCATGAAGTACAAAATGTTAAACCATGAAGGACAGGATGTTAAACCATGAATTACAGAATGTTAAAATTTATATGAAGTACAGAATGTTAAACCATGAAGTACAGAATGTTAAACCATGAAGGACAGGATGTTAAACGAAGTACAGAATGTTAAAATTTTGATGAAGTACAGAATGTTAAACCATGAAGTACAGAGTGTTAAACCATGAAGTACAGAATGTTAAAATTGTTATGAAGTACAGAATGTTAAACCATGAAGTACAGAATGTTAAACCATGCAGTACAAGATGTTAAACGAAGTACAGAATGTTAAACCATGAAGTACAGAGTGTTAAAAACCATGAAGGACAGGATGTTAAATGAAGTACAGAATGTTAAAATTTTTATGAAGGGCAGGATGTTAAACGAAGTACAGAATGTTAAAATTTTTATGAAGTACAGAATGTTAAACCATGCAGTACAGAATGTTAAACCATGAAGGACAGGATGTTAAAATTTATATGAAGTACAGAATGTTAAACCATGCAGTACAGAATGTTAAACCATGAAGGACAGGATGTTAAAATTTATATGAAGTACAGAATGTTAAACCATGAAGTACAAGATGTTAAACGAAGTACAGAATGTTAAACCATGAAGCACAGAATGTTAAACCATGAAGGACAGGATGTTAAATGAAGTACAGAATGTTAAAATTTTTATGAAGTACAGAATGTTAAACCATGAAGGACAGGATGTTAAACGAAGTACAGAATGTTAAAATTTTTATGAAGTACAGAATGTTAAACCATGAAGTACAGAATGTTAAACCATGAAGGACAGGATGTTAAAATTTATATGAAGTACAGAATGTTAAACCATGCAGTACAGAATGTTAAACCATGAAGGACAGGATGTTAAAATTTATATGAAGTACAGAATGTTAAACCATGAAGTACAGAATGTTAAACCATGAAGGACAGGATGTTAAAATTTATATGAAGTACAGAATGTTAAACCATGAAGTACAAGATGTTAAACGAAGTACAGAATGTTAAACCATGAAGCACAGAATGTTAAACCATGAAGGACAGGATGTTAAATGAAGTACAGAATGTTAAAATTTTTATGAAGTACAGAATGTTAAACCATGAAGGACAGGATGTTAAACGAAGTACAGAATGTTAAAATTTTTATGAAGTACAGAATGTTAAACCATGAAGTACAGAGTGTTAAACCATAAAGTACAGAATGTTAAACCATGAAGTACAAGATGTTAAACGAAGTACAGAATGTTAAACCATGAAGCACAGAATGTTAAACCATTAAGGACAGGATGTTAAATGAAGTACAGAATGTTAAAATTTTTATGAAGTACAGAATGTTAAACCATGAAGGACAGGATGTTAAACGAAGTACAGAATGTTAAACCATGAAGTACAGAGTGTTAAACCATGAAGTACAGAATGTTAAACCATGTGGTACAAGATGTTAAACGAAGTACAGAATGTTAAACCATGAAGTACAGAGTGTTAAACCATGAAGTACAGAATGTTAAAATTTTTATGAAGTACAGAATGTTAAACCATGAAGTACAAGATGTTAAACGAAGTACAGAATGTTAAACCATGAAGCACAGAATGTTAAACCATGAAGGACAGGATGTTAAATGAAGTACAGAATGTTAAAATTTTTATGAAGTACAGAATGTTAAACTATGAAGGACAGGATGTTAAATGAAGTACGGAATGTTAAAATTTTTATGAAGTACAGAATGTTAAACCATGAAGGACAGGATGTTAAACGAAGTACAGAATGTTAAACCATGAAGTACAGAGTGTTAAACCATGAAGGACAGGATGTTAAACCATGAATTACAGAATGTTAAAATTTGTATGAAGTACAGAATGTTAAACTATGAAGAGCGAAGTACAGAATGTTACGGAATTTTTATAAACCAGACAGCGAAGAACGGAATGTTACAGAATTTATATAAACCAGAAAATACCCCCAAAAAATCGAAAAACATATATGCTGAACGCGAGGAAGATGTCATTTTCCAATCTAAGTACATTTGGTCCAAGGATTTCGTACACTGATGTTAATTCTGTTAGCTAGGTGAACTCAGCTTTTACTGAGTAATAGGATGACTGAATTCGAATAGGGTATGATGCAAGTATGCAGCGTGATCGAGTATTTAGCGTTTGAATTAGTTATGAGGTATGCAGTATGAAGTATAAATCGTTGTTCTGAATGGTAATATAGCAGGAGTGAAGAAAATTTTTAAGTAGAAAAGGATTGGAAAATTATGACCTCAAAGCGTTCGGAAGCAACTATGAAAAAAAATATGAAGAAAAATGAAATTAACAGTCAAACCCAAGTACAACAAGAGAAGTTATGATTAAGGAATAAACACAACAACTGCAAATCTTTGGCGGCTTAGATTTGCACAACATGGTATAAACCTAACCAAAAAACAAATAAACAAAACCAGGATTGTCGTTAGTATAAAATTGCTCTACGAGCAGATGCAGTCAATAAAGGATGTGACGATGATTTTCAAGTGTCTTTAATTTGTTGTTTGTCATTAGACTTGTAAGTCGCCTTCATGCTTCAGTGTTAGCAAAAATGCCAGTGTAAAGTCATGACTCTGTATGCCAAGAAAAAGCTCTCTAGTCAAACTCTGGTCTCGGGGTAGGGAAGAGTTGCGGAAATATTTACTTTCCTTCTCACATTCTCAACGCATGAAAAGGGCTTTCAGATGCAGCGAACTAGGCTACCGGCGAGAAGCAAGGGGCGAAGCGAGCCCTGATAAACAAGCAAGTCTCTCCGATCCCCTATCGCTTTTCTCATTCTATCATTGTTCATTCAAAGATATTTTAAAAATTATATTATATCCAACTTTCCCCCGAAAGGAAGGGGGAGTTCTGAATATTGTTGGTATACAGCTATTTCGAGAAAGGTTGTCGGAAAAAGTGCACGAGACAATCCCGACAGGTATTGTGTGAGGTTTTCAGCTTCTTCAAAGAAATTTGAAAAAATGGCACGAGAGGCCGTGGAAGTATGAGTTTGCGAGTGCTAAAGGAAAACAAGAAAAGTAGGTTCGACAGCTACGTAACAGTGTCAGGAGTAGTGTATTGATCATATCCCATATTACCTTTCGGGATTGTCGCGGGCCCTTTTTTTCCGACAACCTTTCTCGAAATAGCTGTATAATAAGAGACGCGAAGAATTTTGCACCGACCTTGCATGAGGATCGAAGGCGGGGGGGGGGGAAGTAGTTCTTTTAGTATTTGCTTGAATTGCCGAATCCCTATAGGCCTTTTTATTCTGCGCGCGGCCTATTCGTATTGGGTCTCTTGGTCCAAGCGAGTTTTGTTTCCGGGCCGTTTCCCTTAGATACGTCACCGAAATGCATTGACCAAGAAGGCTTGCGGCCTAATTGCGGCCTGCGTCATCGTATTGCCCTAATTTGGTGCTGATTATGATTCACGGGTATATAAGAGCTAAATTTCGCTTCCGTCAACACAGATTATATGCAGCATCGCCTTATTTATGTCAGCGAATACTGTGACAGAACTTGTTACTGACGAACTGAGACATGAATATAAAGCTACTCTTTTGCAGATTAAGAAACAATTAACAAACGACCAGCAAGAAGAACTTTGCTTTTACCACACAGCCGGCCTTACCCCTGCGGAAACTACGGGAATCCTGAAGCTCTTTCGTTCATTAGAGAATCTCCGAAAGATTTCATGGGAGGGCGTGGGTTTCCTTAAAGAAGGTTTACATGCAGTATCGAGACTGGATCTTGCCGAAATATTGACAAAATTTGAAAACAAGAGGGATCTAACAGAACTTGTATGTACGTATGCAGGAATGAAGCAAGGTCTTAGAGCGAATTGTGGCTCTGAATCGGTGGAACAGGCAGCAAAGTATCTCGTTAAAATGATGTCGGGGAGACTTCTAGTTCCAGATGGCACAAAGACCAAAAATGTTCCAGACGATTTCCATGAAGAAATCGAACCTGATCCATATACCCAACTGACTTGGTTAGTTGTTAGAGGTGGAGAAATCGTCGCAGATTCCTTAGCGGGTGAAGACGGACGACAACTTAAGACGGAGTTTACTAACTGGTATTGGGTTGAAGTGGAGGAGCTTTACTGTCAGACTGGCGGAGACATAAAATAAGTTGGGTGAGTTGCCTCAAATACATTCGTCCTCAATAATCTTAGCCTGTGTTCAACCGCCCTGTTTTGAAGGTAGGGGGCGGCTGAAAACAGGCCGTGTTTGCCCCTTTCGGGAAGAGACTAAAATATCGAATTTTATGTTATTACTGGTGAAATTGGTTTGAATCGTTCGCGAACGGAGTAAAGCAGGACGTAAATAAGATCCCTGCTATCGAATCGAGTACGAAGTAGATAGGTAAGCTGAATTAGGCTTCTAGTTTGTTTGGGTCGGAGTCACAAACCAGACGATTTTTATGGCTGAATGTGTGAGTACATAAATTTATAGCTTTAGAAACTCTACATTCACAATAAAAAGATTAAATATTGATGCACCTAAGAAATAACAGGTTATCTCACCTCGTTTCTTCTCTGATGTCATTGGCTCAAAAGAATCAGGTGATCTTTAAGTGAAAGAAAGGAAAACGTGGCAATGTTCACACTATACCAGATTCCTTTTCGTGGCGTATCCTGTATTAAAAGTATGAACAGCAACAGTCCCGGGTGGGTCCCCGGGTGGCAGAAAAAGCGCTTGTGACCTAGTGAAAATCAAAAATCAGAGTCGCAAGCGCAGTCATAAGTGCGACGGAATCGGAGTCAGAAGAATTAGAACGTTTCCATTTTCTTCCGACTCCGCCTATGACTCCGTTGTTTACGATCTAGTGAAAACCAGATTGTCGGAAGCAGAAGCGGAAGGGTAAACCAATCAGACTGCACGTTCCCACGCTTTCTGATTGGTTTAGTTCATCCGCTTGTGCTTGTGACTCTGACAACCTAGTTTTCCCTTAATCGTAAACGTCGGAGTCGTAAGCGGAATCAGCGGAACGCTGTTTTCACTAAGTCGTAAAGTTCTACGCTTCAGGCGGATTAAGTCTCCGACTCCGACTCCGAAAACCAGCCTTCAGTGCACTAAATTCCAGTCCTCACTCCTGAATATTTGCCTCCGTCTCAGTGGGTTCCCGGCCTCGCTCCTACTTATTTACTTCAGTGACAGGCCAAATAGCTGTTCACACTGCACGGCACAAAACCTATCCGGCGATATGTAACGCTCCACTTTCAAGACCGACGAGGCGGAGCTTCGCTCTGTTACAGAACCCTAACCCTATTTAAGGACTAAGAAAGCGAAAACTGATACCCTTTTTAAGGCCCAAAGCCGAAAAATGACACCCTATTCAGGGAAAAAATAAAATTATTAATAGCATGAAAGGGAAAACTTTATTTCTTCTCTGTAACATTAGATGTATAGCATCAAGCATAAAATACTAGAATAAGCCTAGTTTAATAATATGCAATCATAACCTTGATGCATCTTTCAATACTGTTTCTTTACTGCTATTACTTTGTAATAGAACTGCAACAAGTACAATAATCATGTAAGATCTCTGTACAAATAAGATCGTTAACAATATCCGGTGGTATTTACCCGCTTAACGGCTATTAAACCTCTATAGCAAAAGCATTTTGTTAATACTTAAGCGGATACATCAAGTTAAAAAAAAAACGTTCGTTTAGGCGGGCGTTTTCACACTCCAGTATTAGATAATACAATTAAGCTACCCTATCTAAGGACCACACCATGGACACAGAAACAAAAGGGTCAAATAAGATACCCTATTTAAGGACCGAGAACCTACCTATATTGCCCATATATGGGAGTACCCCCCCGCCCCCCATCTCGGGCCTCGAGTCTCTCCTTCCGCTTTGTGATGGGTCAACGCTTTATCACGTGATAATCGAAAAGTGGTGTAGTCAGTTTAGCAACCTTACGTCATCGCATTGCCCAAATTTGGTTGCGATTAAATTTCCAGGGTATAAAGCAAGAGGAAAGGCTTTCATTTTTGGGGTCCGCCATAATGTCAACATCACAATCATCGACCGTTTCTACCAACGAACTTGGACGACAGGAATATGAATACAGAGAAGTTCTTCTTGTGATCGACAGCAATTTGACTGAGGTTCAGAAAAAAAAACTTCGCTTCTACTTCCCTACCGAATGCGCTGAAGGTAATGAAACCCTGGAACTTTTTCGTTCATTAGAAGACGACAAAATGATATCTTGGGAAGACGTGCGTTTACTAAAGGACGGTTTGCGTGCAGTAGGGCGACTGGACCTTGTCGATAACTTGACTGAATTTGAAAACAAGAGAGATCTGTTTACTCTCGTATATATGTATGCAAGAAAACGGCAGGGCTTTGGGGAATCTTCTTGTTACCTCAGTTCAGTCGAACAGGCAGCTGCGTATCTCACAAGGACGACAACGAACGGAATTTCTCCAGACGGCACCTTAAAATCATTGCTGGAATCGAGAAAGAGTATCAAGAAAGTCATAGGCGAGTTCGATGCGGTAATCGAACACGAGCGTCTGGATCCTTTGAATCAGCTTACACTTAAAGTTGTTATTGCTGGAGAAACGGTCGCTGAAGCCTTTAGAATGAGCGAAGAACGTCGTCTTACGTCTGAAGACATCATTAAAATGTGTAGGAGCGTCGCTGATGAGCTTTACTGTCGAATGCGGGAACAGGGGATGACGTGGGTAAGTTCGCAAATAGATATCGTTATTTTCTTTGTCTGTAGCCGAGAATAACGGGAAATCGTTTCAAGTTAATTCAGACGGCATATTTTATAGAAAATGACCTCAGTTTACGTCCCCAGTGTTAGCGATATCATGCATGTATCCCTCTTGAAAACAATCATAATGCAAATTATTATTAATTCAAACTATTTCCCCATTTCTGACTGGCTTGATTGCCCGGCTAATTCTTCATAACCAGATGGTGCTAACAAAATTTGGAAGATGTTTGCAATTATTTCATCCGTGTTTTGGTAGTGCAGAACTCTAGAAAATGGCGAAAGAGTTTTGTTATATGCGAAGACGGAATAGAATACTGGCAAAAAAAAAAATAAAACAAGAGAGAGGGGGGAGAGCCCCTCATTCTTTCTAACTCTTGCTAAAAGTTATAGGAACAATTCGAAAAAAATATCAGAGTGGATTAACCGACCACTTTTTGAGGTATAACCTGCGAGAACATAACACCAGATCATATTTTGAAACTGCCTAGTAACGGGCAAATGTTTTGAAGAAATGATTAGAATGTTTGGAACGTGGAAATATTGTAAATGAAGAACAAGTCAACGCCAGACACGATTGTCATTTGATTGTTGTTATGAGGAATTAGACAGATTTCGCGAGAGTGTAATAGCACCCTTTTCAATCTGCGTAATTCTTCGTATCATATTGTAAGCGCGGTCATTGAAATAACTGTAAAACAGAATCCAGTTGGTTCAGTATGGTTGAGAAGAAACGGGACTTGTGCTGAAATCCATGAAGTCCTTTTCTCTTTTTGTTTGAGTTCTACCAGCTTTCAATCGCATCGAGACTTTAAAGTAAATTTTAAAAACTCTGGTAGAAGGTGCATTACCAAAATATTTTGAAAACCTTGTGGACTTGGTAATCCCAAACCAGTGACAGTGAACTTGATTCTTCATGTAACGGAATGAAATGCAGCTTATTATTAACCTAATTAGAAGATTTATTTATAAGTTTAACTTATAGACTAAATAGTGCCGCGTATAATTTGTTCAAAACTACACAAAAATCAGATCAGGACCCATTACGGACAACTTACCAAACAACTTTTCCAATCAGTTGTTTACAACCCTTCCAATCAGATTCGCGCGTCGTTACCAAATCCGTACAGCAGACTCACATACTTTAAGAAGACTGAAGAGTTTCCATCCACCCAGAATTACTGCGCTTTTTTACTGCGCAATAAAACTAAGAGATTTGTGGAAACTTTAATTCAACAATAAGAGTAGCTCCATGGCAATGTTTTCGTGATTTCATTATTAATAATAGATTTGTCGTTACTATGGAATGATGTTCTTAGCCAAGGATAGTTGTAAAATTAATTCCTTTTTGTAAAGCGACTCATAAATGCTTCTGATAAAACACTGTCTATTCTTTTCTCTTCTCTTCTATTTTGTTATGCATTTCCAAAAACTGCTTAATAATAATGTACGTTGATGGGAGGCAAACGTAAAACTAAGTAGAAAAAGTTTTATGAATTTATCTTTTCAGGAACTTTTCTTTGAATATATAGAGGACAGATACAAATCGGTCTTCCCTCAACAAGATTCAGTGTCTGCTGAAGACATCGCCGACGTGGTTCACCGGCTGATGGAGACGTCTTTGTTCATATAAAACGTATCTCACCGTATTTACTCGTTTCCAAAACGCCGTTTATTCGAGGGTAGCCTTTATTTCAAAATCACCTTTCTGACCTTCACTGACAACAATTATGGTAAATCATTGTAAAACAGAGTTGATGGTGTGGGTGGTGTAGATTACTGGGTTGTACCGAGCCCTTTCTTATAATCCTCAAATAACGCCACATTCGTCGGGTAGGGTGAGCGTTTAAGCGAGGTCGGCGTTTATTGACAATTTTGCTTCGATATGCGTAGTTTGATCGAGTAAATACGGTACACACGTTTCTTCTTATTATTATTATCATTATCATTATTATTATTATCTTTTGCAACTCCGCCAGGATTGACAATCGTAAATGCTGGAATGAGCCTGTGACCCCCTCTTCGAACAAGCGTCCCTCTTCAATTTAGCGCCCCATCTCGACTTGAAAGATAAAATGAGCTCCCCAGGGGCGCGTTTCTCGAAAGTCCCCATAATTAACGGGCCCGTAGAGCTGTTGTTGTTTACATGCAAGATAGAGTTTTCAATAGTTTTGCATCTAACATGATAAAGCTATCAGTTTATGAAACAAAATGGAGCAGTTAACTAACCAGAACCCGCGCTCTTATTCTTTATATTTCGTTTTGAAAATTTGATTTCGGGCCCGAAATGTTATCGTGACTTTCGAGAAACGGGCCCCAGGGCCGGGTTGCATTCGTTTGTGGGGAGGGATGAAAGACGAGCTCCCCCAAAAAACGCCTGCGTGGGAGGCTAATTCGAGCATTAACGATAAATATCCTGCTGGTCCCAAGCCCAGGTAAAAGGAGGAGGGGATTGAGTCATTATCACCTGATACTGAAACCTGATATCAGCTAAGAAAAAAATATAGAACTGAAATTGAAAACAGAAAAAAAGGGGAAAAAAATCAAATAAAACAACTTAACAAGACAAGTCAATAAGAAAAAAAGGAAAAATCGAAAAAAATAGTAAAAACAGGAGAAAAGAAAGAAAATAACAAACAAGCCAAAGATCAGAATAATACTCATTCAAAAGAAACAAAGAAACAGGAAAACAAACGACTTATATAGCGGAACAACAACAACAAACCCAATTAAACAATACCATGACTATGGCGGACCCCTCATATGTCATAAATGAAAGCCCCCAAATGGACGTGTTTTCTGGAATTAAAAAGTTGTGAAACCTCATTTATCAATAAAGGATATAACTCATATCTTAAAATTGCCTGCACTTATTGTTGTTAATATTCTTGGAGAATGTAGTCAGAGGGATTAGAGCATTAATGGAACCCTGTTATCATTGTCTCGTGGATCAGAAAATAAAAAATATTGGATTTATATGCGCAAGCCAACATGCGCAGAAGGTCACCACCTTTTATTTGGCAAGCATCCATGTCACTCCCCGTTCTATCCCCATTCTCCCACCCGTTCTCTCGATCGCTGGCTGCGGAGGAGGCCATTGCAACCCATGGCAATAAGAGAGAATGAACCGCCAGTCTCTTAAGTTAAACTCCTCGAGGGCTAAACATTAAGAGTGATCAGTAAAAAGATACTCTTTTTGGTTAACAAAGTGGCTACTGTTGATTAGCCGTTTGTCTTATTTGTTATTGTAAAGTTAGGGTATAAAAGGTCAGTCATGCATTCGTCTGGTCTCCAACGTCAGCTCTGAACGACAGCTATTATTATATCTACAATTATGTTTTTATCCAAGCTGACTGAACCCGAGGTTCAGAATTCATGTCAACGATATAAAGGCGTCGGGGCAGCGTCGTGGCAAACAAAAAATATACTGAATCACTAGCTCAAGTTTAGAATCGATGAGCACATCCATGCATGACTGACACATTGACCGACCAACGTCACCCCATTGCCCATTTTTGGTGTGACTTATAATTCAGTGAATGTATATTAATATTTCAATTCGTGTTCCCTGTCTGCTGGTAAGGCCATCATGTCTGACGCCATGACTGAAAAACTTAAACTCGAGTATAGATCTGCTCTCCTTCAGATATCGTACGGGCTGGAAAAGGTTCAGACGAAAGCACTTCTCTTCTATTACGACAAGGTTATTGAAGAAGACAGCGAGTCTTTAGCACTCTTCAGGTCGTTAGAATACGCAAGGAAACTTTCATGGAAAGATGTCAGCTTCCTCAAAGAAGGGTTGCTTAAAGTTCGAAGATTGGATCTTGTAAAGGACTTGACGGAATTTGAAGTCAAGAGAAACTTCGCACTTCTACTTGATTTATATGGGAAAATGAGACAAAGTTCGCAATGGTCTTATTCCTTCGAATCAATGGTAAAGGTAGCTAATCATCTGACGTTTCTCATGAGGGCTATTTGTGAAGATGAATTCGATGTCAGCGACACCATTAACAAGTTGATGGAGGCGGGAAAAGAGTTCAAAAGTGTACTAAACGATTTAGAAGAGGAAACTGAACGGCAGCTGTCTGAACCATGGAGTAAACTGACTTTGTTGTTCTTAGTTTCTGGAGAATTAATCACCGCGAGCATGATAAAAGAAGCGGAACATGGTGGAGAGCCAAACGCCCCTGACTTGTGTTTCACCGCAGCTACGAAGCTCTCTTCTCGAATGTTTAACCTTGGAATGAATTGGGTAAGAATAACTTAAGGCTACGATAAATGCATTTTTCGTTCAGCAACGTACATGAGAAGGATTGTATTTCTTGAATTGATGTCATACGACCCTTTCGAGTAGAAATCAACAGCAATCAATCGAATGAGTATTTCATGGAGTTTCCGTATTCAGGCTGGTCTGTAAAAGCTACAAACACTGCTTTCGAATGTTCTGTTGAAAATTATCCATTTTAGCTTTACAAACAGTGTTACTTTTATCTGTAAACTGTGCAATAACGACAAGGCAACAGTCTAGGCATATATGCACTTTGAAATTTAGAGTCGATCTCTTGGGCTAGCACGAACTGTGGCACCCCAAGGCACTAGCGTATTTTTTTTCCCAAATTAATTTTACGGCACTATCGCGTTATATAATTGGATTTAACTTAATATAGAAGATGCGAATCTAAAATTACCTTTAACTTCAAAGAAAACACCAACTGAGGGTAACCGTTTTTCAGTATTGCTTTCTTAACTTTTGGACGGGCGAATACATGACTCTCTTAAAAATGGCGGACTTTTGTCTCCTCAAACGATGCAAAGGATTTACTATTCAAAAGCTATAGAAATTGTCCAAATACAACCTTTTAGTATCCTTTGAGTACCAAGAAAACGGTTAGGGCAAGTACAGCTTAGGTGACTGATGTTTATCGATATTCCAATGTAAAGCTTCCTTTACTTCGTAAGTCACGACAAGCCACGCGATACTCTCACAATTTACTCGCTTAAAGTTCGTGTCCCCAACTGCTTCCAATAGTTAACTTGCGCTCTTTTTTCGACAAACAAGGCCTGCGTTAGTCGGTTACCTTTATGTCGTTTTAAAAGCCATAAAAAGATGTTTGCACAAGTAAACGCCCAGTTGGACTGACAGATTCGAAGGCTGTAAACCCTGACGCGAGTCATGATCTTATCAGTGCAAAACCAACTAGGTACAACTATTTTTCCTTCAAGCGAAAGAAAAATGCCTTTTTTGACATCTTAAAGCTTAAATTGTGACAAACAATTTAGCATGCAGTATATTTGCGTCCATATTATTCACGGTTTTTTATCACATGTTTAGAAGACACCTTTTGGCCTTGCATTCTAGCAAAGGTTGTGTCGATTGGTGAAGAAGGCATATTTCTATCAAAGTTAGCATAGCCTGCCGATTTCGAAGGCAAACAAAAATCAGTTTGCGATTTTATATTGTAAAGGATTAGCAGAGAAAGAGTTAAAGTTGTCAACATAAAATACTATTCGAGTTCTGGAAGCTTGGCCGCAAGCACGTGGCATGAGTAATCGGACTGCAGGAGGTTTTGGGTAACAAAAAGTCTGCTTCGTTTAATATACCTTTAATCTTTAGTCTTTAAATTCGTGTTTTTGGCGATTGTTAAAAAATAAAAAATCCTTGCGAAATTTAATACCCATAAAGAAAATTCAAATCCGCCGAAAAAAATGGTTAACATGTAACAACGACAAATCACACGTTTACTGGCAAGTTCAATTTCTTATCTTCTCACGGTGGTGAAATAAGTAGTACTTCAATTTGGAAAAATTCCCAGTTTACCTTAAAAGTTCATTTTTGAAATATGCGGTTTTGCTCCCTCCAGTTTATATACAGGTCAGACTTTTTGAAAACTAAAAATAAAGTAGAGAAACTTGCCAAGACCCTTGAATCGAGAAATTAAATGCCCTTTTTTCATAATTATTTGCCTACTGAAATCGCCAAAAAAATACCCCGCGAAATACTGGCCCACGAGACTGGAGAAATTCCTCTAGGGGACACATGAAATATTCACTATCAGCATATGAAAAATTAAACACCAATTCTTAAGTCTAAAGCGTTCGTCATGGGACAAAAGATGTTAGGGCTTGCACTAAAGTAGGTGAGTTAGTATACCTGTGAATAGAGACGGCTGATATATCAGTACCCTGTCTGCATCTTCTACTTCCATTATTGTTCTCCTTCTCCTCGACGACTACTCATTAATGGATGGCTTTTTAAATTACTTAAGTGACACTGAAGACGAACCAACAAACCATCTTCTTATAAATTTAAGACAATTTTCTTTTCTTTTTTTTTTTCAAACAAAGTTTGTCACACAACAAAAAAGCCAAAAAGGGGGAGAAGATTCAGCCGTCTTTGGTCCCGATATGACTGGGTACGGAACTTAGACTTTTGTTTACGTTCTTCTGTAAAGATACTACTCTTGATATATATAATCTTTATGTTTTTTCCTTAGGATGAATTCTGCGTCTATGTGGAAGAACGATACAATTTCATCCATCGTCAGAAGCATCCAGTGTCAGAAAATGGCAGCTCGAATTGGGAGAAGCAGATGGCAGAGCTGGTTCAACACCTAAAACGTTCTGGTTATTTCTTGTAAGATCAGTTCAAGTTCGGTTCTACGGTTCTACGGTTCTACGGTTGGCAATAATACCATCCTTCAGCTTCTTAATTAATTTACTGATTGAGGTTTTAGTGTAGTTAGACTATAAGAGAGTACTGAATTTTTCTTGTAAAAAATAGCTATATATACTTACCTTCTCAGACGGGCGGTATTTATGCACTTCAGTCAGTAACGAATATCCTGACTGTATAGCATATAGAATATTTGCTGGACATCAACAGCACGGTTTATGAATGGATGTTCTTTAGCACGCCCTCATTTTGTCTTGAATTATTCAGTGTGTGAGATGATGTCATCATTTAGCACCAGCATAAACAACCGATTAAAGAAAGAGAGGAAGAAATAAAGAAAGCAGCAGTGGATAAGAAAAAAAGAGAAATAGTCACAAGCTGTTACATCAAAGTTGACTTTACAATAAATTATAAAGTTACTGTCGGTTTTGATTATTTTTTCTTGAAAATACTTACTAATAGTTAAATAAGGATTTTACTGTATCCCTGATAACCACGATCCATTGATCTTACCTTCTTGGCTACATTTTGTGGTTTAGGTAACGTTAATTATACCCCAGTCCACGGCTATCGTGTAGTAGTGTCCAGTTAAAAGCGAAGAACACAGCTTTAGACCCTGTTTACATGGAGTGGGGGACCCCGGTCTAGTGGGGTAGGTTCCTTTTGTTTTGTGTCCCCCAGAGTGTAAAAACAAAAGAAACCAACCCCACTAGACCGGGGTCCCCCACTCCATGTAAACAGGCCCTTAATTAGTCGATTTTGTTGGTTGAAAACGGAAGCGTGGACATTTTTGAAATCTCGAAGTATTATACAAGTCGAAAACAAGTACGGTTATCCCCTTTTTTATTGCTTTAATATTTTATTAGAGATGAGAGGGAACGCCAAAGAAATGTAAAAAAGTTAAAAAACTATACAGAAGAAAATTTCCTCTGAGCGCAAATGTCCCATTTTCCACTGTTACAATCGGTTTTTTATTAATCAATGTCCATTTTCCTTTCAAATGCTAAAAGCTATCGTCCGAAAACAAGTGGGGGTCGAGGTTTGGTTTTCTAGGTTATCAGTGCTGGAAGCTGAAAAGTAGGCCTAATAAAATAATTTTTACGATATGTTGCCATGACAACTGCTAGAAGAAATAGCGCTGAGAATTATTTACAGTCATTGTATAATCCAAGTCTACAAAGGTACTATTTTGGCTTTTGTTTGCTTTTTTGTCCTTTCCTTTCGAAAATAAAACCCTCAAAAAGGTGAAAACTGGTACGAGCCACCTTTCACTGTCCCAAACCAGAACTAAGAAGGGGAGACTAAAAACTAGTGCCCATGTTACACCCAGCCCAAACACCCAGCCTTTCGTTGCCTCTCATCCTTGTTACGGCTATAGGAGCTTGCCCCGGGGTTCTGACCGGAGACACCAGCAAATCAAGCATGGGACTCGTGGTTCTGCAGGAGTGGTGGGGCATAAATCAGGTGATCATAGACGAAGCTGCGGACATTTCCGAAATGGGCAACTTTGTAACTCTTGTTCCCGACTTGTACCGGGGAAAAATAGCGACGGATCATGAAACCGCGGGCCACTACATGTCTGATTTGGACTGGTCAGGCGCAGTGCAAGATATCGCTGGGGCTGCGAAATATTTGAAGGAGAAAGGTTGGTCCAATATATAAGCTTAAAGATAAACTCCTTAATAGTTAATCGGGGTCACGCAATTCGAGGGAGTGTATAGTATACGTAGGTGTTGCAACTTTGGGCTGACCCGGAATGCTGCAAAATCCTGAAGATGACCCCTTTTTTGTTAAGATGAGGGGAGGTCCATCCAATAACTCCAAGCTTTGTTTTGAAACTGCAGTGGTTCAAAACGGATATTTTCCCTACTTAGGGAGTGGGAGGGTGTGTTTAGGATTAGTATTCGCCGACAGAATGTTCAATAATGAGAAAATCCTTAAATAAGAATGACCGAGCAGGCCCATAGCGGGGTTTTTTACGGGGTAGGTGCAATCCAACTAGGAGACAGACCAAATAAGGCTGGTGGGGCATATCTCTTAAGGGGGGGAAGCTTTGGTTGTCTGAGACTGAATTGCCCAGCAAGTTTGCAACTGGGGGGGTGGGGGGGGGGGGGGGGCCCCNATATACTTTCAACAAGAAAAAATGTTGACCTAAAAAAACTTTTCTCCACAAAGAGTCACACGGTGTAGCTTTAATAGGAGTTTTAATATCCTCCAAGCAACATAGAGAACTGGGTTCAGCATGTCAAAGCTGACGGGAGTTCTCATACTTGCCATGCAACTGGTAAAAAAACAATTCAGATCCAACCTGACTTTGCAGAAAAGCATGGCAAACAAAGACAAAAAGGATTTTTATTGAGCAATGAAAAAGTGTCTTGTAGGCGCACCAAATCCCCTTTTTATACTTAACCAAGGCTAAAACATGTTTTATGGAAAAAGTGAGTCAGGCTTGTGACTTCTTTAACAGCATTTTCAATTTCACTACACAATACTCCTACTTCACTTTTTTTAAGTCACTGATCAATAAAAAAGTGGACCTCTGGTGCCTATGGGGGGGTGCGAGGGCATGGTTCACACCCACCTCCCTACAGGCCTGCCAAGACTAGGTTTCCTTGAGCCTGCAAGACTGAGCACCCACCCAAACCCTTGTTTTCACTAAAACCGCTGGACACCACAACCTGGTTGAGGTCATTGTTATCTAAGGTCTTCCCAATAATGAATACAGTCCTCTCTCACTGGTTACCAGCATGATGGGTGTTTTACTAGGAGAGGGGGGGTGGCTGCTTATTACCTGTGAGGGAGGTGCGCCATTTTGAGAAAACTTAGATTTTCAAACCTAACCCCCCAATTAATCCTAGCTATTTAGAAATGACCCCCATAAATTTTAACTATTGTGAAAGTGAGCCCCCATAGGAATATTCTAGCTACAAATTGTGTAACTTGCAGAATAAGGGTTATTTTTTCGCATTTTCAGGGAGAAGTGCATGCACTCTCTCACCTAAAAAATGTGAAAAAATAACACCTGTTTTGCAGGCTACAAATCGTGCCAAGAGTTCACCACATACTTAATTATCTACAGTCATGTTTATAAGATCAGTTTTTGCTATTTGCAGATGTTACATTTAATTTCAATTCACGCTTGTTACAGCTCTGTACTACTTTCATGAAATTACTAAAATGCCCCCCAAGGTAATGCTCCCTAATCTGAAAATGACCCCACAGCAAAATGGCCGACCCTGGCCCTGGTTCCGGCCCCATCTCAGGAAATAAACGACCAGCTTATAGAGAGACCTTTTGGAAGTTTGCCTGATTTGTAAAACTAATTATTTTTTTGAGCACCAGCCCATCTGATCCTCCTTTTCAATCTATATAGAGCAGTCAATGGACAGCTGTAATTTATCAACTCGGTTGACAGAACCCAAAAGTTAAATGTATTTCAGTACTCCACTGATGCACCCTGTAATCAGAGCCTGCTTTTGTCTTCTTGTTGGTCAAGAAGGAGAAAAGGAGGCTGATCTGCCTGAATGGTGTAAAGCTTCTGAATTTGCCACAGCCTCAATTTCTGGATAAGTCAATCTTGCCTTCTCTCATCAAACTTGTTTTTTCAAACACAAGCATCCATTTATTGATAGTCCGAGGGTCTTAACTGAACCCACTGTGCCAAGTGCACAGCTATTAAGCCTGGGTTCCAAACTGTATCCTTATGGCAACAAGCAACACATATGCACAACAAAGATCCTACTCGATTAATGCAGTCTTTGTTAAGTATGCCAAAATCGAAATATCATTGTGGGCAAGTGAAAGAAAGGCTCTGCCAGCAGGTTGCCACTGATGCAGCCCCATACTAAGTGTAAGGCTATGTTCAAACTATACCGAATAGCTTTTCGTGGCAGTGTAGTCAGGGTGTGAACACCTAACTGATATGTGACTCTCTGCTCTAGAGATCGGACTGGGGTAGCCTTGCTCCATCTCAGACTTATCGCACCACCACAACAATTTTTGTGCGCGAAACAGAAGCCCTGTCCGCTATGATATTTGTGGCAGCACCAAAGCTATGCGGTATACTGTGAACGTAGCCTATGTTTAAAAACTAAACCTGCAATTATTTGTTATTTTGTCAGGTTGTAAGAAAGTGGGTGTGACTGGCTTCTGTATGGGTGGGGCCCTTGCTTTAGCTGCTGCTGCACTACTTCCTGAAGAGATTTCAGCTGCCGCTCCATTTTATGGCATTCCCAGTTCCGACCTCTGTGATGTGGGCAAGATCAAAGCACCAGTGCAAGCCCACTTTGGTAGTAAAGATACACTAGAAGGGTTCTCTTCGCCAAAAGATGCTAAGGCCCTCGCAGAGAAGTTTGATGCCGCAGGAGTGAATTATGAGCTGCACATGTACGATACTGGCCATGCCTTCACTAATCCTACTAATCCAAATTACACTAAGGAAATTTGTGATTTGGCATTAGGAAGGATGGTAGAGTTTATGAACAAGCATTTACAGTGAACTATAATTTTTTAATTTTGAACTTTGATACCAACTGCTTTTCATTTTTTGTGTTCAAATACTTGGTGGATGCGGTAGATAATGAGATGAGTTGTTCTGAAGTCAACAGACTTAAACCTTAGGCCCTTACATCAAAATTTAAATTCTCATTTGTTATCCTCATGCATTTTTATATAAAAACCAAAGTAGAGAGAAGTTGTTAAGAGTATTGAAATAGACTGTTTTAATTCAAATCTTGTGTTATCTTATCTTAAGGTGCGTTCCTTTGGGATGGTCTGGATGAGGATCAGTGATCCGAGATCACTCGGATCATGGTACATGTAGATCAAATGAACCAATGCAGGGGTGGATCCAGGATTTTTTTTAGGTGGGGGTGCACTCGTCTCTTGCTCTACTTCAACACCAATAAACCGCATAGTTTTTTTTTTTTTGCAGAATACCAGTTGTATTAGAAAACCGCAGGTCATCTCGGGGGGAGGGGGGGGGGTGCACACCCCCTGCACCCTCCCTCTAGATCCGCCCCTGCAATGAATCCACTCTGGACAAGGATTCATTTGATCTACCATGATCTGAGTGATCTCGGATCACTGATCCTGATCCGGATCATCCCAAAGGAAAGTACCCTTAGATTCTCAGTACCACTCTGTTTTAGTAAACGTAGATGTTACAAGGAGAACATTGATATGCTGATCACTCTTAGAGCTTAAAGAGTCAACGTTTTCAAAACGTGATTACAGTTTCCAACTGAACCAATCTACTAATCTGCATTTTACCAAGGAAATTTGTGATTCGGCTTAAGGTAGTCAATAGATTATTTAAGAAATAAAATGAAGTATTTGAAGTGATCCATACTTAAAATGAGCTTTAAAAGTTTACTTATTTTATACCTCAGTCCAAGCAAATTGCTGGGTTCAACCTTTAAAGACAAGAGACTTATGTGTGCATATTCAATCAATCAATCAATTGATAGAATTTATTTTAGGAGGGGAGCACAGTAGTGAAACTGATGACCCTGAGGCCTTCTATGACGTACACTAAAAATATCATAACGACGGTGCGAAAATGAAATAGCACACACCCTCTCCATAACCTTCCATGACAAGCGAGAAGAAGGGGGGTCACAAGCACAAGATCTTGGACAAGCCATTTGAGCCCCAATAAGGTAGTAGTCGGTACACATATTTTTGCAACTGATTGTACTACATAACACGCTGACCCACATAATCATTAAGAGGGACTGCTCAGTCTTAAGTATCACAGGAAATCTAATAAAGGAGAAATTATTAACATTGAGTTGTTACTTGTTATTTAATTCCAAACAATGTTCAAAACTGTCAAAAATTGTCACAAAATAACTGTACACTGTATAAGAGTGCAGGGCAACATTTTATTATTACTGTTGTTATTGCTGTTGTTGTTGTTGCCCATATGCAGAGATTGGCAATGCCCGAAATTTTACAGTCCCCCATGAGCCGGGAACAGTTGACTGGTTTGCAAAGAAGTCAAGTTACACGCATAGTAAACTGAAAATGTTTTAATTTCTTTTTTTTAGAAAATCTTTCAAAACACACTCCTTTTGATTCTGGTATAACAAAGTTACAGTCTTTTTATTAAATTTTTCCTCATGATTGTCTTGTTATAAAATAATATAAAATTATCTTATAAATAACTTTACAGTGGCTTGCAAGAAAATATTGCAATAACATTGAGCGTTTACAACTTTTCTTTTCAAATATTGTTTTTCTCTTTTTTTTTTGGCTGCCCTTTTGTCTGGTCTCTCCCCATTGATCTTTCCGGCTTGGTTGCACCTGCCAGAGGCTAAGCCTCTGCCGGCTGAGTTCGCTGGATCACGGAGACACGCAAGCCCCTCCACCACAGCAAGGTAGCAGTCCATGAGAGGGGATGTCTAGTTTTTTATACCTCACTATAAATGCCACTTAATTACCACTGCTTTATTACCACTCTCAACAATTCAAAATCCAGGATTTTGCCCGGACAAAGTCCTCAACTACTATCAACCATTCAGTTCAACCATCCAGGTTTTTGCTGTTCCTTGACAAAGTCCTCAAAACCTTTCTGCAAAAGAAAAGAAGGATATGTCCATGCAGGTTTTTTATTTACCCCTACAAGACCAAACCCAGGTACCATTACCACAAATTTTGCGACATCAATTTTTGTGAAAAGCACCCAAAAGTTTGCCGTCTTCTTTCCTCTCCCATCCTGGACCCAGTTGTTTGAAGGCTGATTAGTGCTAAACCAGGGTAAAATTTAATTTAATCCTGATTCTTTTTCTTTTGTTAAAAAGCATTTCCAGGGATAATTTTTTCATTTATTATTTTTAGAGCATTCAATTAACACATTATTTGCAAAAAGAATTAATGAACTGAAAGGTTTTTTGAAGCTTTCTTATCTGAATCCAAATTTTGCACTAACCCTGGGTTATCTTACCCCAGTTTTGAACCCGGCCCCGATGCGTTAGGCCTGAAATTGATTCAGACGCCACTCTTTTGTCATACTTAATTCATCAGTTTAGTTCGGCACATGAGTGGAGCGGTGTTTGAACCGGGCCTAAGTTCACTATTACCAGGACCCCTAGTCTGCTACACAGCCGTTTTTAGTGTCGTCACGCAATGCTCCTCCCCACTAACAGTTCGGTTTTCAGCAGCCGTTAGTGGGGAGGAGCGTTGCGTGACGACACTAAAAACGGCTGTGTAGCAGACTACAGGACCCCCTGAGCTTAGGCCGCCTGTGATGTTCCCCGCTACGACACCCAACTGTCAAGGGACATTAAGACATTTACATTGTAACAAAAAAAATACATTTTGAAAGTCCCAACATACTTACCAGCCCCCCAAGTTTAAGCATCCACTGCGCAAAAGACTCCCCAATCTTCGATGTTAAATCAATTATTGATACTTTATCGTAATCCAAACTGACATACCATTCGCCTGTTATCGTCAATAACATTGTTACCTCGTCCCATGAAAACTCGGGACTCCGTCGACACTCCTTTATCACATTATTCAACAATTCTAGAGCTCTAACATCCCCATCAACTTGCCTGAACTTATCACGTGCCTCAGAAATCTCAGAAATGCATTCCTCACTTTTTCGTCTTGTAGCAGCCATTAACCTCAATGCGTCCGCGTAGAAGCTAGAAGCAGTCGCTGAACAATTACCCGCGACGTAATTCTCCAAAAGAATATCAACGATGACCCGCAGTTCATACCCACTTAGTCTTTCCAACAATTTACTGCAACCCGTCTCTAACAGAAACCTTCTTACCATCGACATAATAAACGGCATTCCCTTATTATCCAGCAAAAATTCTACCACCTTCAAAATACCATGATCAGCATCTGCACTTAACACATCCAACCTACCTCTTGGCACTACATTCATACACCAAAATCTAAACCAAGCTCGACTTTTCACGTCTAACAATCGATCGAAATGAAAAATGTACTCCTTGAAAGAACACGAATGGAGAAAGTTCGAAGTTGCACGAAAGTTACAACGCCGGTCCATTTTGCTACCCGGAAGTATTGCCGACACTACGCATGTATGTGTGTGCGTCACGACCTACGAAGATTTAACAAAGGCTCATGGGTACAAAAATTTGATTGGCGGGAGTGCTAGAGGTGGGGGTGTAGTTTTAGGGATGTCTTTTCCAGCCACCGGTGAGTCCGAGAAGAACAACGCACTTTCATCATGACGACTTGCACTCGTTGATGAAAGGGTCTGAGTCTTCCAAAATAACCTAGTTCATCATAAGTGTCCCAACAACTTTCAACAGTGGTTAACTTATAGTTGATATTAGTTTCCCGACTTAGTTTCTAGAGTGCAATCACAGTTCAAAGTAGACAGACTGCAAATTATAGTAGTTGCTAAAAAATATATCTACGTGTCCCAACTGTTAATCAGTAGGATGCCTAAAATGCGTGCTATTCCACAATTGGTTTCAGCTCCATTAAATCCTATAACAATTGAAGAACATTTTAGGAGGAGCCACCCACCGTGTGAGCACAGTCGACGAAAATAACGCAAAGCAAAACTAAGACGTTATTAAACGAACTAAATGACTGACATGTAATAAGTGGAAGACTTCACTGCTTGCTGTGTTTCAAAATGCGAAAACTGATGACTCCGATCCAAGCTGATCCAAAAATAGCACAATACAATAGCACAACCTTAGCAAATCTGTGAAAATGTGTATGTGGGAAACGCGATATAAAAAACGTTCACGTGTTACCAAAAATTCGTTTGTCTTATTATTGATGGTCCAGTAGAATTGAACAACTAACATTTCCTGTTGGGTCCCGGGTGTTGGGAGTCGTTGTTTTAAATATTTTCGCACTCATGATTTCTCTATCACTTTCAATTATCATGCCTCAGATGTTTCGAGACGTTTCCTGCGCATATTAATGTAGTTAATGTGGTGTTCGCTCCTTCAGGCGTAGTTTGATTGTTCGGTTCAACAATCTGACGTTAATCGCAGTCCTTTTTTGGTAGTGATCGAAATTCTGGGGTATAAAAAGACACGAATGCTTTCACTTTTCCGTCCGCCATCAAACAACACCCCCACAATGTCATCCTTGAAAACTTCGGCTGCCATTATTGACATACTTAGGCTGGAATACAAAGAAACTCTTTTGCAGATTAAAAGAGGATTGACCAAAGATCACTTTAAAGAACTTCGTTTTTACTTCGACGTCCTTATTCCTGAGGAAACTATGGAAATCCTGGAACTTTTTCGTGCATTGGAAAATGTCCAAAAGCTTTCATGGGAAAACGTAGGTTTCCTTAAAAAAGGGTTGGATGCAGTATGGAGACTGGATCTTGTCGAAATCTTGACTGGATTTGAAAACAAAAGGGATCTAACAAGGCTTATTGCCAAAATCGTCCATGACTCCTTAGCGAGCGAAGGCGGACGACACTCGCTAAAGCCGGAAGACATGGAACGGTGTTGGAGCGCCGCGAATGAGCTTTACTGTTGGATGGGGAAACACCAAATTAGTTGGGTGAGTTGTCAAATATATCCATCTTAAAAAATCTAAGATTTTAGAAACGTATTTGGATGAGTGTTCGCGGGAGAGTTCTGGGTGCCACGTATCCATGCATTGTTTTGTTTGTGTGTGTGTGCCTTGTATGTTTGTTTTTTTCGCCTTTTTATCACAGCCGTGAACATTTGCTTTCACATGTTTAAGTTGGTCAGGTTAAGATTTTTCTAATTCTATTGCTATACTAGTTTCTGCTTTAGTTAGGTTAAAGCCATTCAAATATGAAAACTAGAAAGGGCGTCAATAGCACTAGAGCACAAATTTCGTCATGCCAGAGTGACTAATTTGCAATGTTTGTCTGACTTTTCCCATTTTTGTCATTTCAATGACGGCAAAGTCACATAAACAGGTCATTTTAATGATAAATGAAAAACAAAAGGGAGGAATTCGCTGATATTAAATTCATTTTCTTTTCTTAAGCTACGGGCAAAAGGACGCATTGTTGGGCCAACAATTTTGGGAGTTGTTGCGTCCGTGTTGGAAAATGGGTTTGCAAACGAATGCCACAACTCCCAACAATGTTAGGACCTGCAGTGCATCGTGGGAAGGATACAACCCATAATAATAACAATAATAATAATAAAGTCTTTATTCATCAAAGGATAAGGTCTATTTCTGACTGATTGTACCCCTCTTTGCGCAGCGCAGGACTTTTGGAGACCATGTGTAATGCGAGTGCGTGACCCCAACATGGAAGGAGTTATGCAAACGGATCCAACATTGTTGCGCTACGCTTCATCTTTCACGGAACAAAAGACTTTTGGGAGTTGTTTGCTCAAAAGTTTGACCGGTTTCAAACTTTGCCCAACAACATGCAACAGCAGTGGCGTAGCCAGCCCATAGACCTGTAGGCCCGGGCCTACAAATTTTTGGTTTGAACACTCTACCGCTTGGAATAAATTATGCGTTGTTGGGGTGAGCTAAAAAGTTTAAGAGCTCAAAGTGTTGGTTAGGTCAGTGCGTACTAGTCAAGCGTGCAATTTTCAGGATATGTGGAAATGAAAGTCAGCCAGGCCTACAACTTGTCGAAAAGTTGGCTACGCCCCTGAACAGGGTGTGGAAAACGGACGTAACATGTAACAACCAATAATTTTAGAAGTTGTTGGCCAACAATGTTCTGTCCGTTTGCAAGGGGCTTTAGTAGCTGTGCGTAGCGCTATTGAAATATGTCCCATGCTATGATGCCATTTTATTGTTCCAAATAGATATCACCTGGGAAAAATAGTTGCAACATGCATGAACAGCAATGCAATTATTATTGTAGTAAAAGCGACACTGGCTTGTTATCACAAACGTGGCTATTTGAAATATTTGGTTTTTAAAACAGATTGAGCGTAACTTGATTTAATTGCATATTGAAAATCAGCATTTATATTTGCATATTCATATCTCCTGCGTGGGAACTGTCGGCTCCTTCTGGCAGGCAAAAAGACCTTCACTTAACTATTTTCTGCGCGGATGTCTATACGATGGTGTCACTTCAGAAAATAGCCTACTCGTTGGTTAGACTTTGCCTAAACAATCTAAGACGCTTAAGGCTATGTTACAGTGGAGGAGATTTTTCCGGATTCATAACTTTTTCGGGTTTATTACATTCAAGGAAGGCGGCTAAAAACGTATTTGGATTCCCAACCGTTTACACACATCGTTAAATCCGGGAAGCTTTAGCCTGTTCCAGGCGTTCAGACGGTAGTGCGCGGGAGAAAAATTGACGAGGAAAAACACGAGGGGACGAGAGGGAAACAGCGCGCTCCACTATCTGAACGTCTGGAACAAACTAGGGAAGCTTTAGCAGCGACGACGTCAAAAAGCTGTGAGTTAATAAGCAAAACAACAAAAAAAAAAATAGCACGTGCAGCCAGGCTTTCTGATATATTTGTTTGCAGTCCCTAAGCGACCCGACGGGACGTTGTTATGGAACGTTGTTTGGAGAGCGTAAACGCACAACGAATTTCAGTTTTTTCTATCTCTTTTCAAACTTGGGTGCGTTTCCCAAGAATTCATCTCCAGGGAGCCTTCACCTACAATTGCCATTTTAAGCGAGTTGGTAAAAACGCTTACAAGTTTGCTAAAACGCGAATTTATCTTAAAAGTGACGCTTTTGCTGCACCTCGTCGTCGTCGTTGCTTCATCAACGCGACAGTTCCGATTTGGGTTACCGCAAACTCGTGTGATTGAAGGTCGAAAAGTTTCCGGCCGGATCCTTTAGAGGAAAAACATTGTGGATCGGGTACAAAGTATTCACTTTAGTTTCTTGCATTCGAAATCTCCGGAAACTTAACCAAAACGGGACGTTTTTATATCGGATTCACACATCTGCGTGCTTAAAAGAAAAAGAAAACAAATCTGGGATCAAAATTTAAGAATCCCGAAAAGGTACCTCCAGTGTAAACGTAACCTTAAATAAATGCACGAATAAATGCTGCACTTTCGCTTCGGGAAATTCCCGACTTCATCGGATCCGGTCTCCGAGAGTATGTCAGAAGGGCGTAGTCAATGAGAAATAAACAAAGAAGTGTTTTTAAGACCGTTATTTACATCTTTTAAACTAAAATAGTCTTCAAGTATTGAGGGAAAAAATCTCATAAAATAAGTGGCATACAAATGCGTCCAGTTTCTATTTAAACTCTAGGTTTTAACTAACAAATATGCTTCCTCTGAGGCGCTGGATAGGCAGGGCTATTATATATTTTGTTTTTGTTGTATTTTTTAGGAAAAGTTCTGTGTCCATTTAAAAGACCAGTACAATTCAGTTAACCATCAACACAGCTCAGAAGCAGGCAGCTTACTTGTCAAACCAAAAATAGCTGAGGTGGTGCAACAGCTCAAGAACAATCTCCTTCCCTGAGGAGGTTCAACACCTAGGCGAAAGAAAAGATATCGACCTCTCTCATGGACTGCCACCTTGCCGTGGTAGAGAGCTTGTGTGTCTCCGTGATCCAGCGAACTCAGCCGGCAGAGGCTTAGCCTCTGGCAGGTGCAACCAAGCCGGAAAGATCAATGGAGAGAGACCAGACAAAGGGCAGCAAAAAAAGACACTCCAATAGTTACTTAATTTGCTTTTTAAAAAAATTCACCTGTATAGAAAAGGATGCGGTTTGGCCAAGTTTAAAACAAAACACTTTGAGAATTGTTAAACTGTAAGGTCAATTTGGCACCCGTTTTAAAAACCAATACATATTACTGTTTGGCAAGAGAGCCCCTTTTTTCTAAATCATTAGTTCGTGAATAGTATCACCTTCAGCGAACACTTTGAGCAGAAATTTGCATCTCCTCTCAATCACTGCATTCTTTCCAATACAGGTGTAGGCTAGAAAAAATAATTACAAAAAAAGGAAAACATTTAACAAACAAACTGAATAATTTTTAAAAAAAAGCAAAAGATTAACAACGAATAAAAATCCGACGACAACAAAAGAAGAAAAACACACGACCAAAAAGTTAAAAAAAAAAAAACAGAGAAAAGAGCGAAGAAATAAACAACGAACACCAGTTCAAATCAGCATTTAGTGAACACAAAAAGAAATATTTAAAAAAATGTAAAATTACAAAAATAAGGAAGAAAAACCAAATCACTAAGCAGAAAAAAAAACAAACAACCAACAAGAATTTGAATAAATCAATGGCGGACCAGTACAGTGTCAATAAAAATCTAAGAAAAATAGAAACAAAGAAGTAAAGAACAAAAATTTAGAAAAGAGAGGGGAAAAAAAGAAACATTACCCTATTGAAAAAACTTCAGAAAAGAAAAAATGCAATGCAAAGTAATTATTCAGTGTACTGATATTTAATATTTAATATTTTTAATATTTTATGTTTTTTTTTATGGTAACTATTTTTTCATCATCATGTGAGGGGTACTCCAAGAAGAGATTTTACGAAAATGAATGCGCTCTGAGCGTGAAAGGCAGCTGCATGAAAGGATTGACCTGATCAAATTGAGTAAAGGAACAATTTGCCATGACAGAAAGGTATACAGTGGAACCTCGATAAAACACGAACCTCTATGTAACGAAGTTCGTTGGTGTAACGAACGATATTCTTTGCCCTACCAAAATAAAAAGTAAAAACAACCTCCTACGACCAAGACAGATGATTACCTAACCATACTGATAAAAAAGAAATATATTTTCCGCGAGGGAAATGATTTGAGCAAAAGGGTAGGATGGATTTAGAAAACTGTGCGTTACTCTGGAAATTTCTAGCTACGCCCTTGTATTTTTTGATATGTTTTCTACTCAGTGGAAAAGTATGTAACTTACCGCAGAAAAAATATATAAAAATGATTGACTTCAAAATACCATTATGTTGCTTTCATTTGACTGATGGTTTATTATCTATGACTGGCTGCGTTCACACTGGAACTGTTTTTGAGGCAGCACCGTGTAAAGGCAATACCTCTTTTGAGGTAGGGTCGATGTGAGGTCTATTTGAGGTCGATGTAGGGTCGATGTTGTGTGGATGTGGGTTCAATGCGGCATCGATGTAGGACCTACGTGGGGTGGAGGTATGGTCAATCAGGGTTGACGAAAAATCATGTGATAATCGAATCATCGTGCTATCGGCGGCGTCTACGTTTGTCCCTCTGTGGTTATTTTCAACAACCCAACGTCATCCCATTGCCCTTATTTGGTGCTGATTAAGATTCAAGGGTATAAAAGAGACTCGGTTGCTTTCATCGGTTGGGTCCGCCATTACCGACATCCCCATGCCAGTACCGCCAAAATAATGTCATCACTAACATCAGCCGCTTTTAACATCAGACGACAACTTGAACATGATTACAAAGAAGTGCTTCTTAAGATCAAGAGGGGCTTGACGGAAGATAGTGAAAAAGAGTTTCGCTTCTACTACACCGTCTATGCGGAAACTAGTGACACTCTGGAACTTTTTCGCCTATTAGAAGATGCCCAGGAGATTTCTTGGGAAGACGTGAGCTCGCTTAAGAACGGTTTGCGTGCAGTACAGAGACAGGACCTTAAAAAAATCTTAACAGAATTTGAAAAGAAGAGAAATCTGACTGCTCTGGTATATATGTATGCAAGAAAACGGCAGGGCTTTGAGGATTCTTTTTCTTGCTTCAATTCGGTCGAACAGGCAGCTACGTATCTCACAAAAACGACAGCGCAAGGAATTTCTGCAGACGGCACCTTAAAATCATTGCTGGAATCGAGAAAGAGTATCAAGAAAGTCATAGGCGAGTTCGATGAGGTGATCAAACGCGAACGTTTGGATCCGTGGAGACAGCTTACTCTTTTGGTTGATATCGCTGGAGAAACCGTCGCTGAAGCCTTTGTAATGAGCGAAGAACGTCGTCTCACGTCTGAAGAAATCGGTGAAATGTGTAGAAGCGCCGCTGATGAGCTTTACTGTCGAATGCCAGAACTGGGGACGTGGGTAAGTTGACGAATAAGAAATCATCAGATTTTAGTTGGCATGATTGTAAATGGCGTTGTATTCGCGATCATAGGCGGAAGCGGAAAATTCATCATAAAGCATTGCCAAAAGAGAAACGCTCCGCTAGATTAAGGAAATTCGTGTCCTATTTAATTGTTCAGAGTAATGTTGTAGACTTCAGAGACTTGCCACAAGTATGATAGTCATGATTTAGTATCAAGAATCCCTCGCGTGATCTATCTGGTGCCAAACAGATGCAGAAATATTAAAGATACGAAGTCTTCTTGTTTGTCTACCTGTACTAGTAGCCTTTAAGATAAAGAAGGTCGAGATTAAGTTCGACTGTTGATTCAGACGGTCGAACTTTACATGTGCCGAACCTAATTCGTGGCGAAAGGAAATATCATCCTTACAGCTTAAAATAGGAAAATATACTGAAAAAAGTAAAAGTTACCAAGCCAGGATATTCTTGTTTTGATTTTAGTGTGATTTGTGTTCTGCTATGGTAAGGAGACAGCTGAGGATATCGTGATCGTGATATTTGGACTAAATAAAGTAACGCCATAAATTTTAAGATACATAACGATTTCTTTATGGATATATAAAGAAAAGCAACTTTTTAAAAGACCGTTTTAAGCTGTCCAGTTTCAGTCTAAAATCTGCAACGTGAATGCTGGTAACCGTCGTTACGCTTCGTTACGCTTCTGTGAGCTCTGTCCACAAAGGCGCGAAAACCCATTAAATAGCCAATCGGAAGCGCGGTTATATTAAAAAATACGTTAACACAATTTATGCATTAGGTTCGGCACATGTGAAGTTCAACGTATGAATCGAAGTCGATCTTTTTCCGTTCTATTCGACCAGGTCAGTCGAATAGAACAGCAGAGTCGACCCAAATACAAAAGTGCCGTTCCTAATTGATTCATATGACGAACATGTGCGGGACCTAATAATTAGGTTCAGCACATGTAAAGTTCGACGTTTAATTAGGTTCGGCACATGTAAAGTTCGACGTTAGCTTGTTCCAGGCGATGGTGGGGAGCGGGCAAAAAATTATGGCGAAAAATTGACGAGGGAAAAAATAGGGCGGGAAAAGGGGGAATTCCTCGCTCCCGCCCCAGTTCCCACTCGTTTTTTCCCCTCGTGTCTCTTTTTACGCTGGCCGCGTACGATTTAACTTGCTCCCCACTCTCTAAACGCCCGGAACAGGCTAGTTCGACGTTTGAACCGGGCCTACTTTCAGTGTTGGCCGACAAGCTTAATTAATTAAAAGTAAATTAGGGACCCGTTATTATTTATGTAGAGGAGGGGGGAGGGACCCCCCTCCCCCCACTGCAGACCATGTAAATAGCAAGTGACCCCCTTATTTATTTAGTATTTACCTGATGACCCCCCCCCACAACTCATATCTCCTCTTATATGCTCTACGAAGTAATTATTAAAATGCATGTAACAATAAGACTTAATTGGTAAATAAACATACTAATCATAAGATGATTAGTTACTTTGCATAAAAAAGGAACTAACCTACTCTATTACAAAATCAGCATATAAATATGAGAGAAGTGATAGATTTTTACAAATTGTTCCTTCATGGTGAACACAAAACAATGCAAAATATAATTCTTTTCAAATGATTTTCCTGCAGTTGTAAAAGGACTACTTTCTTGTTGTTTCATCATGTTTTTCTTGGGAGTTTGAAGTGACAGGCATTTCGTTAAAAGAAAATTCAGTCAAACCAAATATTAAAGCAGATAGGTCTGGAGTGCAAACAGAATTTCTGTCAAATACAAATGACTAAGTTGTACAAAATAGTGATGGTTTAAATAAGCAGAAAGCAATATGATTAGCAAAAATTTGTACCTGATCTAGTATTGCTGTTTCTCATATATTGTTTGTGCTCTTCTATTTAACTACTTTACCCATCTTGCCCAATGGACCCCTCTTAAAATATACGTAGCGATCAAACTGCTGACCCCTCTAAACTTCTTTATAAAAAAAGTTTAGCCCCCCTCTAGCCAATCTGAAATAGCCTTGACCCCCCTTCGACGCCCCCTACCCCGCCCCCGCACACCTCTACATAAATAATGACCGGTTCCTTATGGGTTCATCTTTTCAGGAAGATTTCTGTGAACATATAGAGGACACCTATTACTCGGTTTTTCCGTCTCAACAAAATTCAGCATCTGCTAAAGAGATCGCCGACGTGGTTCACCGACTGATGAAGACCAATGCGATTTGTACCTGAATTTGAAAGCGATATGTCTTAAGGGCAACGTTTGTTGCTATCACTATCATTATTACACGAACCTTACAAAGACTTAAAGGTCTTAACTCCGCCAGGATCGATTACATGGCTTTTAGCAAGATCCTGCTGGTCCCAAGCCCAGATAAAGGGAGGAGGGAATTGGACCTGGTACTGAAACCTGACATAAGCTAAAACGTTTAGTGGAAAAAAGGTTGGAGAAACATTCAAACAAGAAAAGCAACACAATGTTTCTGCGTTAAAGTGAAATAACAAAAAGAAAAAAGGGAAAGAAAAAAAAGGAAAAAATGAAAAGGAAAAAGAAATCATGAAACAACCCAGCAACCTAACGCCTTTGTGTTGAACGACATCTATGAGAAAGAATAAAGAAAAAGAAAAAGAAAAAATAGAAAATAAAAGTAAAAACGGAAAAAAAAAAGAAAAATGAGCACAAAAAGCATACGAACAAAAAAAAGTTAACTATCCAAAATGAAGAAAGAGCAAAACAAACAACTTATATGGCGGAGCAAAAAGAACAAAAACAATACCGTGGCAAATGGCGGACCCCTCCTTTCTAATAATTAAAACTAAAAGATAAGTAGACGTATTTTTTAGTTATCAAGAATTGCTGTAAAACAATATCAGTTGCTAATAAAAGATTATAATTATTTTAAAACTGCCTGTACTGATTGTTGTTAATATTCTTGGACCAGAGTATGGTATTTTACCGTACACTGTTTTGCTAATCTTTATTAATTGCGAGTCCCAGTTGCCTAATCTGAAGCAGATAAAAATTTCTCAATAGAGTGATCAAGTGTAATCCTTGGCATTTTCTTCCAGCGGGAGCCCATAGGCTCCTGATAGGCTTGATAGGCTCCTGCTTCCAGTTACCCTTAATCTGACGGACCCCTGCACAGAAATATTGCTTAAAAGTTTCAAAGATGAGTCCGTAATCACGCAGTGATCAAAACAGTCTTGGATAACGTCTTTACTCAGTAAAAGTGGTCTAATTTTACTCAAAAAACTTTCCATGAGATTTGGTGTTCGATGAGTTCGCCATTAATGCTAAGCGACTTCATTCCTTTTCTTTCAATGGCACACCTTTACAGCTGACAGTGCTGCGTATACACCCTGAATTTTAGACATGATTCGACGGTTATGATTCGACCGAGAGGTTACCAAGCAGTACAGTATTTTACCTTGAATATCCTACAGGAATCAAAGCACACAATCTAAAAGTTACTTTAATGATAGCTTGAATGTTTCTCTTGTAATTCAGAAAAAGAAGACTGTGATCCATAATTTGTTCTCCTTTTCAGACAACAGACAATATTATAAAGGCGTGGTCGGGCAGCGTCGTGGCAATAAAAGAATATGCTGAATCACTAGCTTAAGTGCAGAATCGATCTATGACTGATAGATTGACCGACCAAGGTCATCCATCGCCCATTTTTGGTGTTACTCTTGATTCAGTGAATGTACGTTAATATTTCAATTCGCTTCCCCTTTCTGCTGATAAGGATCATGTCTACCTTGAATTTAGACGCCATAACTGAAAAGCTTAATCGAGTATAGACCTGCTCTCCTTCAGATATCGCACAAGCTGAAAAAGTGTCAGATTGTCGCTGTCTCCTAGACTTCGCGCGGACAACGGATCAAGAGAGAACGCCGAGGGACTCGGGCTAGG